TGTGTTTTATGTGTGTACTCTAAAACCATATGATTAAGCGGGGCTTCATTTTCAAGGGTTTTTTTTGGGGAGGGGTGCACCTCCCCACTGTCATACATTTTACTTTGTACCCGTAATGTCACTATTATTTCTTATTTTGTAACGTCATTCTTTCACGTTCTTTTAATGTGATGCAATATTTGGTGTCTAGATAAATTTGCAGATTGTCTTCAAAATGTAACAATTTACTTGTCCGCACTGTCATTTTAAAGAGTAAAACGAAAAGGTATACTTATTTGAATTTTCAGGCATAAGTAAAACAGGGAACTGCTGTTTGCCTGAAAATATTTCGAATTTGAACCCTTTGATCATTAGAATATTGCGCCAGAAATCTGCCTAGCATTCAACAATGTTTACACATTGCACGTGGTCATGAGAAATGGTGGTCCCGACATTTCAACACTTGGACTGAGACCACAATCAAATACTTTCACGAATTAAGCCCCTATAAATGTTTGTATAAAGTTAATATAGATCTGTTAAAGAGATGATAATCTCACTATAAGTGTGTAAATCAGTAATACTGAACATGTATTTTATGCTGCATGATCCTGAGAGAGAAGTCCAGTTTTCACCTCTACTCATTTACTGATGTATATAATTAACGCTGATTATTTACTGGCCACGCTTACCGTTGGCTTTAAAATGACTTACCTTATAGATCGGAACATAGCATATTACATAGACCTTTAACAAAGCTGATCTGATCAGCACCTATGCAGCTCAAATCTTCAAAGACGATTTGTGGTCTACTCTGTTCCAAACCACTTGATGTTTAATCAAACATTAATTGTTTAATGTAACATCATAATCATTTTGTATGTTTCGCGCAGCAACTTCGTAAAATCCTTTCAACAGAACAATCCAAAGAAACTGCTAGAAAAAATATCATGTACAGAGATGTAAAAATATTATAGAAGCTCTCTTCATAAAACTGATTCACCAATATGACGAAATGCCAAATTAAAAGTGAAATGTCGCCAGCATCTATTCTAGTCGATTTTATCTGTAGTCTTGTTCAAAGCTTTTAGCTTGAAATTGGCCTAGAGGCTTTCTATCTAGATGTTAAAACTCTCAACACTCTGCTCTACTAACAACAAAATGTTCCTGATTTTGTTATCTGTATTGTTTATCATGCCTATGAATAAGTGATCTTCACCGTGATATGAGAAAACATTTACGAGCCAATGTGTAGATTAGATGTATACCGTTAGCTCACACCACAAACAATAACACCATCCTAAGTATTAGATATGAAGTTTGTCAAAATATATTTTTCGCTCCTTTATACACAAATAATTGTAGTGATGTTAAAAGTTTTTGTTTGGTTGCACATTTGGAAATATGATTACTTATCCAAATATTGAAAATGAAGAAATCTGTTTTTTACCTAATCAATGTACTTACTCTTCATGTTCTTGAAGTTTTGCTTTGGGCATATTTCAGTGAAGTTCCCCACCGCGTCCTAAAATAAGGAAAAATGTTGTATAATGCAGCTGAATCTGGTATTGTGTTATAACGTATGTAAATCATGCGTGACCTTTCTATTATCATCGTATTTTTCTTGTTAACGTTATAACTCAATGTCAGACCTTTATCTAAATAGCCATTCCAACCGAATGCGAATGACATATTGGCTGACAAGTGTTTCATTTACGAAACAAGAATGGTTTTCAGTCACTTAATGGGAAAATGAAAGTATCATGTGCCACTAACTACATAATGTTTCTATTTCTTGTTTTGTACTCTTTCCTTTCTATTTGGCGTTTCATATGGTATGCATTGTAACGCACATTTACATTCTTTTGTCTTGAGATGCGCCAGTTAATATATACGATTGTCATCTTTCATAATACTATCGAAAATCTACAAAAAAAAAAAAAAAAAAAAATAATAATAATAAAAAATAAAAATCAAATACTATTGTTTGAGTATAGTTATACAATATGTTACAAAATTGTCCAATGCTGCCCGATAGGATTAACTGCGTTAAAAATCTGTCCAAAATAGAAACAGACTCAGACTTAATATCTTTACAAAACACGATTTTCAACGTTTATTCTTTGTAACATAATAGAATCGGTCTTTTTGAAATTGGAGTTGTATTGTGTTCTGTTTCTGAACTGTATCACTTCGCACGTGCTTTCAGTGTCAGCGCATCCTAAAGTATTGCTTTTGTTTGTTAATGTTTTTTTAACTGTAAATTCCCTAGAGGTATCAATGCGTTATACAGAAGATAAACTGAATATACTTGAAAAGAATGGTAATTCATTAATTGTGTCTTTGAAATATCGGCTACTTTTTATGGTCATAAATTGCAACAAAGGAGGGACAAGTGACCTTTTATCTCTAGGCAAAGCATTGCGATCAAACGAATCAGCTAATGTACTACGACATCGCCATATGTCAACAAGTTTTACAAATGTAGTTAGCTAGTACTTCCTTACATTTACGAGGCTTTGCATTTAAAATATGATTCACTATTTTCATCATAACACTAAAGACCACTTTGTATTTTTTTTAAAAATTTAATCTGTTTATTCTTTTATGCAATTATCTGTTACGAAAATCTTAAATTTGTGAATAGGTAATTCAGTGGTTTTTTTCATTAAATTTTGGTCAAATGTACACTACGTTTACAATATGTATTTTAGTCGATAGTAACTACAAACTACAGTTTTATGTGCGTGCTCACAGAATTAAATCTGTCACGCCTTTGTAAAACAGACATATAAATCTTAAAGATGTTTGAGTTCCACGCGTTTTCAAAACATCGACGAGGGTTTGGGTTTACAGAGGGCTGAGAATAAGTTTATATCCATACAGTTACCTTGTTAACAAATGTAGACCTTGATCTAGAGAAACAAAAGCCATGCACAAAAATGGCTTTGAATATTCCATGGTAAACGTCTAATAATGCATTGTACGCGCGTGTATATTCACAAAGGTAAATGTAGATAAATACACCGACATATATGTACATGTAGTGATACATATTTCTGGATATGTATCGCACTGGTGATTTATGCAAAGCAGCAGCAGCTCTATTGTTAGATAAAATTCGTAATTTTTCTGAATCAGATATTTCCAGAATAACGTCAAGTACAAGTATTTTCAAATCGTGCCACTATTCGAGTGAATTTAAACGTGGCAAGCAAATTACGACAGGCCTCGGGGACTTCACCAGCAATGTCTACCACTTGCTATCTTAAATATTGTACAAAAGACTCACAAGTGAAAAGCGCCTTTTCATAATTTAGGGTGAGATACAAACAAGTAATTAATCTTCATCATACAGCTGTTTCGTCCTTCTAGGACTCATCAGTGATACTAAGAATCTAAATTTTGAAGCCTAGAAGGTGACTAAGAAAAGTCCAAAGTGATTAAAAGAAAAGTGAAAATATAGACGGGGAGGTTAACTAAATGTATACTACTAACTGGTTACATAAATAATTTGGTAACTTGGAAGAAAAAACAGATACAACATGTACAACAAACAATTAAGACAAGCAGCAGATTTCTCAGGTTGGGTAGAGTGGCTCTTGTCTCTAGTATCTTGAATTTATAAAGAATAAGGCTGATTTTTCCATATCTTTGATATGTCAAATTCTAAGCGTAAAGCGAATTGGAGATAAGCTAGTAGAAGTTGCACGATAGCAAGACTACCGGTTGGGAATCGTATCTGTTTCGTGACGCCTCGGTAGTATAGACTTACTGGCGTCTGGCGAGTTTGTTTACGAAATATCGTGACATTCCTGGTTCGGGTTACATATGGCTTTCCCATTCTTCTCCAGATAGTCTTCAACCATTATGTATTGTTTTGGTTCTTTAGTTACTTCAAAAAGAAACATTTCTCGGAACTCTTCTGTCATGACAAGGTTGAAAAACTAAAAAACAAACACACACAAAAAGGGTATTCAGCACAAGTAGGAAATTTCACCTGATTAAAAAAAAATACATGTGATAATGTTTGTAAAGAAATTGTTCGCCATAATTGAGCATAATAAACAAAAAGGTTTAAATTTGTGGAAATCCTATATAGATCTACTTATGTTAGATAGATTAAAAACCTCGGTTCCACCAAGATTGGGCCACAACAGGTTTATTCTTGATAAGCCTATCAGTGAGAAATATTTGTGTATATTCTAAAATCGGCCAGAAAACAAAGCAACGGAATCCCAACCCAGCAGGAGTTTTAAGTGAACATCGTATAGACCTGTTACTATGATCTAGTCAATGACCGTGTTCAGAATTTCCCAATGTCCTATATTTAGATATTCTATTTATAATCTTAGTAGGGGGTATTTCCAACAAATTTCGTCTGTCCCAGCTGACAGTAGCCTATATATTTTGATGTTGACAATACTTTTAAACGTTCATAAAAAGAGTTCTAAAATTGTATAAAACAGTCTGAAATGTGCCAAACTGTGCAAAATATCTGTTTTAAATAAGCCATGATGTAAAACTGGACGATCATTAAAGTTTTCGTATCAGCTTATGGGAAACTAGTTTACAATATTTAAATTCTTGCTTCACGTATCGCAGATATAATGCCTCATTGGTAGTCGGCGATGGCACAGTCAATCACAGTTGCTGATACACAATGTAAGTGTAATTAACTTACTTAACTCTTTTTTCGTTATGTGATCAACTATTAATAAAGTTACTGTATACTTGAAAATTAGCCCAACTTAAGTCATCTATAGCTGTTTAGAACAGTGATAGTCATAACATACGACCAAGACCATCCAGTATACTTCGTAACTCACCCTTACTCTGCCAATTTTAGGGGGGGCGTGCGCCCCCCACGCCCCCCTCTTAATCCGCCCCTGAATCATGTAGTTGCTGCGACACATGTAGGTGTAATCTGGCACCTTCAAGTGTTTTTTGGTCAAAGCTAATGCCTACAATTAATTAAAGGCTGAGAATTAGTGTAGAAGGATATTAAGTAGTATCTAAATTCAAGGGTCATGATTAAGAGAAACAAGCTTACGGGCATTATATTGTTTCCAGAGTATGTCATTGCCATTCTCAATGTGCGTAGAAGTGTAAACACGGGCAATTGGTTCTCCACCACCACCACAACCACCACCACCACTGCCACCTATACTACAACCACAATCACCACTACCATCACTACAACTACCACCACCACTACAACAACCATCACCACTACCATCACTGCCACCACCGCCACCTCTACTACAACCACCATCACCACTACCATCACTACAACCACCATCACCACTACAACAACCATCCCCACTACCACCACTACAACCACCATCACCACTACCATCACTGCCACCACCGCCACCTCTACTACAACAACCATCACCACTACCATCACTACAACCACCATCACCACTACCACCACCGCCACCACCATTACAACCACCATCACCACTACCATCACTACAACCGCCATCACCACTACCACCACCGCCACCTCTACTACAACAACCATCACCACTACCACCACTACAACCACCATCACCACTACCACCACTACAACCACCATCACCACTACCACCACTACAACTACCACTACAACCACCATCACCACTATTAACCACCACTACCACCACTGCCACCACTGCCACTGCCACCACCGCCACTTCTACTACAACAACCAACACCACTACCACCACTGCCACCACCGCCACCTCTACTACAACAACCATCACCACTACCACCACTGCCACCACTGCCACCACCGCCACCTCTACTACAACAACCACCACCACTACCACCACTGCCATCACTACCACCACTGCCATCACCGCCACCACCGCCACCTCTACTACAACAACCATCACCACTGCCACCACCGCCACCACCGCCACCTCTACTACAACAACCACCACCACTACCACCACCACCACTACTACCAGAAATGTGTCATTTTCATTATAATTACTGTTGTTTGTGTTTATCACCGAAGCCAAAGTGTTGCTGATGAGACCTCGGATCAGTCGACTTTATTATATAGAATCTAATGAGTACGTGTTATTACCTAAATATGGCAAATTAATGAAATAAACCAACCTCTGGATACAGTTATAGTTTCTAGAAATATTTAACACCAGAATCTATGGCAACCAATATGTAATTAAGATAATGCTTCGAAATAAAATTGTTTTGATTCTGTAATGAAATATAAGATTGTAGTTACAGTCCTCCCTACAGAATATTTGGCTAGGAATTGGAAATGATATGCAGATATTTAGCCGAATGATCAATTAAAATGAAATATGAAATTTATCGGGATAATCTAAATATTTAATGGCTCAAATGAAAAAATAATATAAAAATTCGCTTGTTTCACTATTCAGAATATACACATGTACATGTTCTTGACGTTGTTCTTTAATCATCCTATAACTGGAAATGACTAGATTTATTGAAATATGGGGCCAGTGCCCCTCCCTAGGTTTAGACTTCTCTTTCGATCACTCTGGGTTTTCTTCAGCGGCCCCGAGGCCTCAGTTTAGGTCCTTGGCATCACTGACGACTGCTGGAGGGACGAAACAGTTAGCGGTATAATTCATTGTTTGGCTGTACTGTATCTAGCTCTAAATGTGTGGATTTTGTACATTCCTTCCTAATACTTCAGAGAATACAATAACTCAAAACCAATGATACGCCCGTGACAGAAAAACGTACCACAGATTCATCGATTTGTCTACTTTTCAGTGCATTCTCTAAGGTTCTGCACTTTTTGTCTAATATTTTTCCTGCGTAAATTTCTGAAAGTCGCTTTGGAATTATATAGTGCTCTCAAATTTCCGGCATACCTTTTTGATACTAATAAAAATTGTCGATATAACATTGCTTGGCATAACTCTACGAAATATACGTTTAAAGTAAAAAGTCAAATGGTGATCTACATTTGATACATATAATACACACCGATACAATCCCATTTTTTTAAATGACAAACGGAATATGTTTTCTGAATTTTCCATAGAAATATCAAACAAGCAAACGCCAAGCAAAGCAACAAAGAACAGTGAGGCAGCATCTTATTTCACGAAATTTCCCATCAAGAAATATTAGGTTGACGGGATGAACGAGTTATTTTATTGCGAACAATAACCAGAATTGTTTTTAAAAACCTTTTTCCTTATGTGCAACAGAAATGTTTATAAATTGACGTCAGAAAATGTGAACTTTAATCTGAGAATGTTTTGTGATCAAGGATCAAGAAGTGTATCTCCGTACAGAATGGATAAAAAACGACAGTACCAGTGTAATTCTACAGGGACGTGCTATTGAATTACAGAGCTGTTTCTAATCCTAGAACCTTACTTTGTCTCCGCAAAACCATTTACAGACCGTGGTAAAGTTAAGCAAATGATGTTTAAATGGTGCTCTTAAATAATGCTTTCATCCATTTGGGTATTTCACTTAATATTCTTCTCGAGATAAAGGATACCTGAACGTGCAGTTTGATATACAAGAAAGAACCAGCCAAACCATGTTGTCTGTGCAATTCTACAGGAATACAAATGGATGCAATTGGAAATTACCTCAAGAATCGACGTTTCAATTATTGTTGTTTCGACTTCCGGAAGTGACGTTATTATCGGAAACGTGATGTCTGTATATCTTATTCGCCGTTGTAGTATACAATGACATATGGGAGAAATCGGGTAACGATCACAACGCCGATAAAATTGAGTCAAATCTTGGTATTTGCCAAGAAACGTCAGAAGAAAAAAAAAGCAAATTAAAAATACATCTTTTATGATAGGGCGGTTTTGTTCCGATTCCAAGAATATGTCCCATTGGAAGCCATTATATTGGAAATCGAACTTAGCTACAGTATTATTCCTTGTAAGGAGAGCCTACTGTTTGAAATATATATGTACTAGGGAGATACACAGCTGCCTCCGGTATCTCAGATTATGAAGGTTCAAATTCCCAGTCCATTTTTCCATTTTCAATTTCTAAATTGTTTTATACGTGTAGGCACATAGGCCTTAGCGTGGCTGTGTTATGAACAAGTTTGTATGAATCATTTTTTTTATGCTAAGATTAAGTTACAACTAGTAGTTTTTGGCAACTTAATAGTATTTCCGGGGCGTTTGTCTACAGATTTGTTTCAGTATCACAATTTCCATAGAATTATATTGAGAAAAGTCCTTATTCCCCAGCAGTTTTTCATTAAAATCGATTGTGAAGTTGGACATCTAAGCTTACATTTCATGACTTCTTGGTACTTCATACCGATGTTCTCACCAAAATATCCTTCCACGAAATCATTACGTCGCAAATAGAATATAATACACATTTCGACACTTAATGTAAAACTTTAAGACATGGGCTTTCATCTTTTTCCAAACAGCTTCGTTATAATTAACCATGTGAGTTTGGTTTTGTATCTTTCCTCTCTTTTTTAAAAGATGTTTTCCTTATTAATATCTCTTTTAACACTGCCTTAATGTAAGACTAAGGTTTGAGCCTAAAATTGATTTTGTCACTCAGTGTTTCTTGATATTTAGCCAAGGATTGGTATGTTTTTTATCAATATCGTGTGATCAGTTGAGGCGTCAAACCGCTGTATCAATCATGATATTTCAGTGTGATGTCACTTTACAACGTCATACAGCTATTTTTCTGGTTTGGTTTGTGTGCGGTTTTGTTTGTTTGTTTGTTAGATGGTTTGTTTAATTGTCAACTGCATGTTTGTTTGTTTGTTTGGGGTTTACGTCCTCGCCATGCAACAACCAGTATCCTCTGAAGTAAATATCCAGGTTTATTTTGTTCTCTCACACGTTCTTGTTGTTTTAAGGTTTACATGATGCCGTTTTACATGTTTTTTACAATTTGATACACGTGCATGATAGTACATAGATGTTGCCGTTTTTTAATGTATATTTTTATTTTACTATGAATATATATTATTGTTGACAATATCCACATTTACATTTATAAACACATGTTATGTACACAATCGTCTGTGATTTTCTAGAATTGCCATGGTAGTGAGGTCATGTGAATTGTATAAGAAACCACGTGTGTTCAGAAATTGGTATAAATGTTGACACGTAACACTATCAAAAAATGCGGATTAGACATAAGGAAAAATCAACACCACATGCAAGAAATATCAACCTTAAAATCCCACATCAAGTCAAAATTCCAAGGTCAAATACCGTGAGAGGTCACCACATCTGACAAGTTATATATTCATTTATATACGTATCTTATTCATTACGGTGTGAACGCGCTGTCATAAAAGGTGTTGTTTCCGATTATATGACATTACTTATCTGGATGTATTTCACAAATTCAATCTTTCCATGAAACAAGCATTTTCATTGGCAATTCTTAATGTCAAAACTCCGTAACATAAACAATCGTGCCATTTCGTAACACCACATTTTATTAGCCTAATCGGCAGTGTCACAAACTATTACAAAAAAAAAAAAAAAAACATTTATAAATGTCAAAAGTAATCTGTGATTAAAATATACGTGGTATCTTTAATCATTTTTATCCATTACAACAAAAGCGGTTTTTGTATGTTTTGCTCAATTACCTATGCATAATTAGTTTATCTATAAGTATATGCTATTTCAGCTTGTATCCTTTCAGGGGTACTTATGTCAGTAATATCAATTATGGAGAGACCATGTCGAGCGAGACTTCTATTATGTATGTATGTATGTATGTATGTATGTATGTATGTGTTATATACGTCTCTCTCTACTATTATCAAGTATTGTATTGTGGTAAAAACAGCGACCAAACATTTTGCGAGGATTTTTATCTAAACTAAAGATTAAGGAATGCTTTCTTCCGTATATACTGTATTTATTGTGTTCCTGGCTTGTTTAAGATGTTTCTTTTTTCCGATAGTCAATTCTTTCTTACCATCTCGTCAAGTTTGTCGGGAAAGATACCAGTTGCTTAGTCTCGTTCAACCAGACTCTTGTTATCTACGCATGCTACGTCGATAATCACGAAGTGATCAAGTGTCTGAGTGAGCGTGACCATTTGTTGCAACATGTATGTCTGCCATGTTGCTATCCACCATTGGCGCAAAGCATTTCTAGAACTTCGTATTCCGTTTCACAACTTTATAGCTGATAGCGAGCGTAGCGGGGCCACTAAAGATAACACGTGCGACGAAAAAAAAAAAGCGGAAAGTTTCACACATACAATCAGTCATGAAGTTGTGACACGAAAGTGGAATACCCAGTAATGCTTTGCGCCAATAGCGGATAGCAACATGGCGCACAGTAACAAATGGTCTCACTCACCAAGACGTTCATCATGTGTGCAAATAACAAGAGTCTGGCTGAACGAGACTACACGATTATATTACAATACGTATCTTACTCGGCAAGCACAGAGATTTAAAGGTAAAAAGAAAACACCAATATCTAGTTAGGAGCACAATAAATACAATATTCAAGAAAGAGTTCCTTAAACTTGAATTAAAATGATTAATATCGCCAAATATTTCGTCATGTTTGTTTACTATAAATGTAATAAATAAGTTATCTCCGTTCACTCCAAATGACTTTGCCACAATTCATTTTATATTAATGATTTTTTTTTCATTTCACTTTTTTGACTTCTTGTTATTTTTAGGGCTTGTTTCGCTGAAGCAGTCACTGCGAAAACAAATATCTCTTACAGTATCTTTTGATGTTTGAACATGTAATTAGGCGCTCTCAAAGTATAATTCAACCAACAGTAACTAAATGGGTCGGCCGTTGGTAACCTGGAGGACTTGAGGGTGGTGTCCTGGTAGTGATAAGTCCATATTTCAAACGACTCCTTTGTGACCTCCACCATATCGATTGAATATACGACATCCCATAAACACGAGTCAACCTGTGACCGTTGGCGTGTTATTGCGATAATTCTCTACAGTCACCTGGGTCTGTATTTGGAGTTGATGATAGCCAAATGTCCATTTATCATTCTATGAAGAAGTACTGTATGTACTTTACCGATAAAAGAAAAGCAATGTCATGACGTCGTTTTAAGCAAAGTAAATATTCACCCTCATACTGTGTGCAAAATAATTGATAAGCTACCGGCATACATGTATGCAGTTAGTTCCTCTGTAGTTGCATGCCGATGGAAAACATGCGCAAGGTTTTTGAGAAATCTTTTTTTCTTCTTCTCAACTGATGTGCATGTTTCCAAATCGTTTACTGCCTTTCAACATATTTCGAACTGTCAGAATTTGACAAGCCCAATCATAGTTATCCAGAGAGCCATTTTTAGGATGAGAAACGTTTATATGTTATGGTGTATTATTAGGGGAATGGTTTCCTCTCCATCACTAATGAGCCAAGGGAGGATCGTGGAGGACTCTTTTCGCGGCCTGAAGTCGACGCGCCACTTTACGCCAACTGTGGTGCGTGTCGAGGAGACTCGTCTAGCCCAAGACGTCAATCTACCCGCCTTTAATGAATGTAGTGTTTCCTAAGTGTTAATCACTAAAAATAAAACCAAGATAAATCAAACTCCGTCTCTATTAGTTCTACCTAAATTCGATAAAAACTAAATTTGAAGTATTCACGCCGAATTTTAACGGGTTTCATTGCCAATATGACGCCAGACAGATCTGGAAACAAGATAAATTGAAAATTCTTTACAGTCAAAATTGCACCTAAAAACACACAGTAATCTTATAATTTCAACTTTTTAATTTTCAAATGAATTTTAAATAACAGGTAATTTTACAATGAGAATCAAATTAGCGTGACAAAACTCATTTGGAAATGTAAATAATTCTGGAATATGGTGGTATCGCAACGGATATTTCATTATAGTGATTCGTGGTTTAAACAAGTTGCAAATTATCCTTTTTTTAATTTTAATCCGGTTGAGGAAGAGAAGTATGACAATCACGTGATAAGTTTATCGGTTTTAATGTCTAAAAGATCTCCACTCAACCATAAGCAATTTTATGCAAAGTTGACTGTTTCTTGTGTGCATGTTAGTACATTTTAGGTATTCAAAAAAAAAAAAAAAGATTTTTTTAAAAAGTAATGAATAATAACACCATAGCTTCGTTGTCAGAATTGCATTGAGTTTCAAACTATGACGCTTTCATAGATGTTGTGTTGTTTAATACTGAGACGAGGCTGGAGACATATAGGGCGTACTCCGAGGTCTGTACTTGGAGTATCTGTATTCATGAGATTCTCAAAAAGCCCGGAAATTACTGTCCCGCGATGTTGTAATGGTTATGTTCTTGTTGAATCTAGATGGAATGCGACAGACCTCCTGTAAGTTGTTCAGTGAGGCAGACACCACTAATGAAGGGAGTCCTGCCTCAAATGACCTTTACTCTTGACGGAGCGATAGATTTTACGGGGAAAAAAATCTAGTATTCAAGATGATAAAACCATGTTACTTTTGAACACCGGTTTTAAGTTGAATGTGACTGTAAAATAATAAATGAAAAAGATGAGGACGTATTTTATTATCTATGGGGGCGAGCAAAATTAATCTGTAGCCGGAAGGAAAGTCGACTGTTATTTCGTTTTTAATATGGATTTAAATATAATGCATTTAACCGTAAAGGTTGTTCACAACGAAAGTCCTGACCATTTAAGCGTCTTTGAAATTAATAGGATTACCCCACAAACGCATGGCCGAAGATTTCAAATGATCGTACCCACAACCGGTCAATATGTTGACAGAAAAAGACAGCATCGAGTGCGATAGCACGTGTACCAGTCGCGCTGCATGAGATCGGAGACGTGTATGTTCCCATGTGTGTTCCGTAGCAACAAGAGATTAACGAGGCGGAAAATTGGTGAAATTGATACCTTTTCAATTGTTACATCGTTTGCAACAGGCACGTGTTACTTTTACCAATGTTTATAAAGGAGTAAGGTTAAAGGTCACACTCCGTAACATTTTCGCCTAATCGTTATGTTTGATTAATAATGTGTAAAAATAATTAATAATTTATTCTATAATTATACAACGCGCTATTCCTTTGTTAAAGGACTATTGCCACCACCTAACCACAGAGCGATGACGTCACGTTAATTCACGTGTGTACGTGTCCTTTATTCGGACAATTATAAATATGAGTGATTTTATATTGCTACGAAGCTGAAGTTGTTATGACGTGGAAATTTGCATGTTTATATACTTCTAAATACTTGTTTTTTTAACTGTCGAAGAAGACAAAAGAAAGGGGACGCGCACAACAGAGCACGTGCTTCATTCAGCATCAAAGTGTGTCGTCAACCAGTTGCGACCAGAATCTGGTGACAACCCAAATCCCTGTGTGATTTATGACGAACTAGTTTTATGTGCCGAAACAATCTTCAAACATAATCTCTTGTGCTTTTTCGTTGACAGGATGAGGGTAGCGTCCAAGTCACCACGAACATTAAGAAAGCGTCACATATGGAGTTAGGCAGACGATCATAACATACACACCGGTGTATGTAGCCTACACCGGCGTCAATATATAACTCCGCTCAACGCACTGTTTACATGATGAGGGGGAGCACAGGGCAGATCTAGCTGATGTAGGTTTCATCTTTCGGCCTTAGTCGTGTGAGAAGACACAGCGAGTGACTGTGCTACGGAGCAAGCTACTATTGTTGTGGCGAGGACACCGCACAACACACAGCACGTGGAAGTATTTTCTAAGTTTTGTGAGTTTGCTTCATCTCGTCAGTAATATAGTTTACATGGTATGCAATAAAAACCTGGCTGTAACGGCAAGGTATTTAGTCCCTCGTGTGTGACCATCCGTATCGGCGAATAGATTGATACAAAGTTAATTCATTGATATAATATCTTGCACAACAAATCTCAACACCAGCCGGAGCGTTTTAAAGGTGTTGAATGAGAGGTACCCATGATATAGAATAGTCGACACGGATCACCGGTGCCCTGCTGTCTATAATGGCGTCTTTGACTTGTTGGATCGTCTGCCTGTTGTGTTTGGTACAAGTGGGATTTATCTATTGTCAAGGTAGGACAGTTTGTTTACATTTCTCTTTTAGACAGGTTCTGAACCGTACATCCCCTCCCCTCATCACAAAAGGCGTTATATTACATGTACGAGCACCTGTGACAACAGGTGTATCATAATATATATATATATATGCTTTACACAAAGATACGTCTGTTAGTGGATGCTCTTTATCGCCTTTGAAATAAATCAGATCTGACGCAAGTTTTATTTCGCTACAGATGTAGCGGTCCTGCCCCTGATTGAAGTTTGTAAACATAAGCACTACGCATATATGTATATATATATATACATGTTATGTTTGGTATATATACGCATATGGATACAGGTGTGTGTATATATATACACACATGTGGCTATTTTAGAATAACACATACCGCTTGTAAGTGTAACATAAGTTTTGAAATAAAAAAAAAAAAAAAACGGCCCGCGGAGGGTGGACGCGATGATTGAAATTCATAAATCAGGCGAGGCACACACATGGTAAATGTCACTACACATGGTTACTGTACAGGTGTTGCTTTGATGTGCAGGAGTTCTTTTATACCTGGTTACACGAAAAAGACAGGTGGTGTGGACTGTCACATACTGTAGTTTTTAACTCAACGCGAACTCTGCCTTAGAATCCATACGTGTGCTAAAAGTGTGCTTATCAAAAGGCTGTGTTTGCTCACACTACAGGGCAACTTGAACCGTTTATTAGTAGTTGTAATTTCCATACATAGCCGGGGCAGTCAACGCAATTAAGATCAGCTGACCACACGGACTCGAGAGATAAGAACCCCCCTACCCCCCAGCTTTAATCACTGCTTGTATTCCGACTGTGCTATATCCTATATTTGTGCTTACGGGTTTAACGCTAGACTAAACTAAAACATATGTCGATTGTGAAATGAGTGACATATATATAAAACCCTGCGGTCCTGTAATAAAGTCATTCATGTATGAAGCTTAACTATTGTATTTGTTACAAGGAGGTCATAACACATTCAATTGTGAGCACCCACGAGTTTGAACCTTATTCGCGTGTAGAGTAACAGTGGCCACTCCAATTCGGATACCTCTGACATTTCCCTTTGTATGGCACGAAACGAAAAATTATCGTTATCTCCCGAATATGATTGGAGAAGATTTATGAGGGCAAATTCTATACGTGCTATTGTTATGACCATAAATGTGTGTCTATTTCCTATCAAGCTGACTTCGTCGAGAAAAACGGAAAGCTGATAAAGCATTTTTCAAATTACAATATGGATTGTGTTACTTGAATTCGTATTGTCAAAACCAGAAATCAGAATTAATTTATTAAAGTTAAATCTATGTAGTAATTTAATTTTGATTACAATTTTTTTATTTGTATTACCTATGAGGTCAATTTTAAGCGAGCCAGACATTTAAATAAAGGGCCGGTAGTTTGTCACAGGGTAGGACAGTATGTCAATGTCACTGGGTCCGTATGTCAATGATACACTACCAGTCTCCAAATGAACGTTACTGAAAAACCGTCACCTAGAGATCCGTATGTATCTCCACGGTAACAGCTGGATATGAAATAGGCTCGAATTTCAAGATCTATGAGATACACATACTTCATATATATATATATCAATGATGGCAAGGCTTTGTAAAATAATCTGTTTTTTAATATAGAAATTTAAACTCCAGCACACGGTTTGTTGACAAGATGAAATTGATATGTCGTACTACTTGAATTTTTCATTTATAAATTTAAACAGGTAAGACATACGTTTAAAATATCTACTTAGGTTTGAGAAGTTACGTTACGATTTTTATTTCGTTTCTAAAATTTGAAGATAAGATTTGACCTTCTTGCCTGCATAACATTAAATCAAAATTAACATTAAGGATTGATGCTACAGTTATGTTCGAGTTATCTCCCTTGAATCATTTAATTAGTACACTTTTTTATGATAATTAAAATTAATCATGACGTTTATTACATTTCACAAATAAATCAAATCAGATTTACATTAAGTAATTTAAATAGATTTCTCTTGTGTGAACTTTTTTCATACGCCTGTAGCTTTGCAACTGATGCACCAGGGATTTCAGTTTACTTGGCGTGTTGACCGTTTCAAAATGTGACTCAAATCTGTCATCAGAGAACAATGTACTTAACCAGATATGATTATTTTCTCATTGTATGTAAAGAAACACGCTCGTATCTACTTAAAGTATTGCTGGAAAGTAATTTGCGGGAAAAAGATGATGTAGCGGTATCGGTTATGCCGTAAATGTGTCTATAGCAGATTTCTATGATAACCAAACGACGCCCTAGCTATATGTACTGGTGGTGAACATAACACCAGACTAGCGGGTGATAACTGTTGATGTAACGGACCGCATATGGCAGAGCTCCGACGTCATTATGGAGGCTGAGAGTCTCACCCAAAACAATAAAACATAAAAAATATTGATAAAAAACAACAAAAAACAATTAATTAACCTTAGGGCGTGTAGTCCGTTCTCTTTTGTGGCAAAATGGTGAAACTAGATCGTGGTGTGTTTTCCGATAACATTCGGTGTATCCAGCGCTTCATTTTGTTGTTGTTTTGTTAGAAACATGGAACATGGTGCCTTTTCCGATAAAATTCGAAGTAGTTAGCATGTCGATTTGATGGTTGTCAGGATTTGATTATTTGACGCATTTCCTTTTGATACCCAGAATAAATGAGGGACCATTTAGAGGGACCCAGAATAAACTGACAACTACAACCATATATATTTATATGACCAATAATGATTGGCACAAACATGCATTTTGAGTGAAACCAATGATTAACTAGGATCAGCCAAACATTTTTTTTGTGTGAAGATAATGATTGGCTTGGACAATCACGCATTTTTGTAAAAGAAAGTGCGATTGGCTTGGAGACGCATTTCGTATGTGTGAAGACAAATGATTGGCTAAGATAACCACGCATTTCGTGGTGTGATCATTGGCCATATGGTAACCACGCATTTGTTTGTGTGAAGATAATTATAAGTTAGGAGAAACACGCATTTTAAGCTGGAATTTCCTCACCAAAAACTTGACACTTTGACATTGTTGTCCGGCATATTCCTCCTACTTTACGAACACTGAATATAAAACATGACTTGGTGATTCGAAACAATTGCCTCTGTGTCAATTAAGTCCACATTTGCATCGCAGAAAACCAAATTCATGACAGCTTACTTCAAATTCAGTTCATTTACATGACCTAACGACGAGATCAGGCTAGAACTCTCGAGAAGAACGAGAGCCCAAGATAGAGTTAACGACTACAGCCACGCTCATAAATAATCACCTTTAGATTACAGATTGGCCATTCGCCGTTTGCTATTTGAGGCATTGATGATACACTCGCCCTATCATCATTAATTAACTTTAATTTGTATTACAGATGAAATTTCAAAACAAATTAGATATCCCGCATGCATGACGGAAATATCGGCTGTTCAGGCCAAGAATCGAACCTTGAACCCCTGAACGTTAAACAGACGTTTGCCATTTGAATAATGGGACTACCGGTGATAGACTCAGCGTCTATCGGTTAATGACACTATCTCTCATTTTGCTTTTTGATTATCTCATGAAGCTCACTGACTCCATTTTGCAATTGAAATGATCAGTGCAACATACATACTCTTGATTCAAACGGAAATCCTTCTTCTAAATAGTCATGATAACACATTCAAAAATAGTCTAATGGTAAACATTTGGTACCTCAACGCTGTTGACCGTTGTACCGCCACACGAGATACTGGATACGTGATGGTCGTAGTCATATCACACGAATCCTTATTTATAAGACAAGGTCAATAACATGTGATAAACATGATTCCTGCAAGCAACGAAAGAAGCTTGATATCATTTCATACTAAGAAGCTTCAGGAAGCCCTATTTTGGGAGGACATTACAACTGATACATCGAATGGACATAAACTGAGCCAGTAATTCTCAAATACGGCCTAATGACACATCATTAATATTCTGTGATATTCAAATCATGATATTTGATAACATGGCTTTCTTGAAATGAGAACATACACTTTATTGAATAAATGACGACAGCTGACGGTTATTGTAGAGAAATGATAGACTGTTGACTTCGGTAATATTAATAGGCAATATAAATGAAATATCTGACATTAATTCTTGCCTTAACGACTCAGATTAAGCAATCACCAGCGTTTGTATACATAGAATTTACATATAAATAGCTATCCCGTCGGCTTCGTGTGCAATCTAACTTTGGAATAACGAGTGTTGATTTCATCATGCTCAGTATGAATAACAGCCAAATGGTAATGCCTCTTTATCAATATGTGCGATTACAATTTTTCAAATTGACAGATTTTTTTTTTATGTGATGTACATGTTTATGTTTTTACCAATGAAATAGAATGCAGGCATCTTTATCATTGAAAATAACGACAGAATCTTCAACGTTGAACGAAAACGACGTTCATGTGTTTCAGGAGTGTGAGAGGAATACTTAAAAATAACCAAAAACTTATCGAATGTCCAGAGGGATAAATATTTGCGTAAGAAAACAGCATTTTTCTTCTATGAACCGTAGTAAAACATCAACGTTAATGACGGAACGAACAATTTTCAGATTTTATCTTGAATCAAGTAATTTTTTCAGACGTACTTCACTAAAAATGACACTTTAGTGTCAAATTTATATAAGCGTTTCTTCAAAACTGGTCCTAGCAACATTCTATAGCTTTCCATTCGGAATATTTCAGTTATGCCTCGGTACATAACATGTATCATGTAGATGGATATTTAGCGCCGTTGTGTCGTTACAGCGATTTCCTTCGATCATTTAGTACTATCCGTATGTTGCAAAGTACATGTTTATGAATATTGCATTTTGGCGACTGTTATTGAGTAATGACAACATATAATGTTTTTGCTGATCATTTCAAATTGCGTCAACAACAAGCTAGGCGCTGTTCATTAGAAAAATCTTTCGTGTGTCAGGGTG